TATTATATTTTATAAATAAGAATATATCAGAATATATTGTATTGTTGACCGGGATAACTCACGTTGGGTATCCTACGATTACACCGGGTTCCAACTTTAACTCAAACTGTGGGACGAGATCCCCCAGCCCCCATGGGAGGGGCCGCTTCTAAAAAAATCGTAAAATTTCATTGTTACCGAAGGTAAACCACTGTGAAACCTCGAAAGCCGCAGCCCCCGGGCGCGCCCAGCGGCCCTGAGATTTGTGTATACTTGTTTCTAGCCAACGTAAGAAGTTAGTTGTATTCACTCAATTGTCAAAGGTTGATTGGAAGTGAGAGTCCCAGTGATTTATTCATTGTATATAAAAGTATAACAACTAAAAGTGAGTATAGAACTAAATGGTCAATTGTAAATAAATCTAACATATATTATTAAAAATTAGAGGAGGTCAAAATTTGATATAAAAACCAAAGATCAGGATTATCATACTGTAACCTTACTAAAGTTTGGACAAAAATAAATAGGAATTATTATATTTCCACACGGAACCTTTATAATACAAAATGTATGTTAACACTAGTTTTGCAAACTTCTGGGTGACTCTTATTTGAATCTGATTTCACTTGGATAGATGTTGGTGAGTCTCAGGAAATGGAGTGACTCCGGGGGAGTCAGTCAGACTGTCCTGGGTCTTGAGAGGGAGTTGTGTTAAGAACGTCTGTGTCGAAGAATATAGGCAATTCTCGTCGTTCGGTCTTCGATTGTTGGTAGTGGGCGGCAAATTGGTCGCCATTAGTGGGAGAGAGATAGAGAGGAGTGAAAACGACGCCCGCGGTACTATTCGGTTGAGATGGTGAATAGTAGTAATGTCGCGGGTAGTATGTCGCCGTTACCGTTTTAACATTGTGCCCCACTTTTCCCACCAATAGAAAGTGTGAATTAATACTTTTACAGACAATGTAGTTGCGACTGTTTTAAGCAAAAAATAACAATAACTCCTTCTCACGTCGAGGGGACAGGAGGTGGTCCCCACGAACGTGTGGAATGAAGGGGTGCCGGGACTTGTGTAAATCAGGCATGTTAGTAAAGTAGTTAGTATTGTAGCACAATACGAGAGTTTTCTTCTTCCATCAGTTGGCAGGACATCAACGGTATTGAATGTAAATTACTGGTTGGTGTTTATTGTTTTTTAGGGCTAAAACGCAGATATCACTACCTGCAGATGATGTTATACTGTTATTTTCGTGTGAGGTTAGAGTTAACTTTGAACCTTTTTTATATATATGCTTTGCTACAAAGCCTTGTCTTGATGTGTTAAAATACACAACGCTACGAACAAATCGCATTTTTTTCATGTCTCTAATTGCTATAAATAAATATAAACTTGGATTCTTTCTGTGTGTCGTTCACTTTATGAGAAATCAAGTACAACCCAGCGGATTTCGAACTACTGAATTTACATGACCTTCAGGAATATTTCCTTAGACCCTTGGTGTTAATTATTTCCTCTGCATTGGATTGTTATTCGATAGGTCACTTCATAATTAACTACGTCTGAAAGCAGAAGTCTAGGGCAAACATTTGCAAGTCTCTTCCGTGCGCATGTCACAAAATGATTTAAAATAAAAAAGCCAAATTCTGGAAAAAATAAAAAGTGAAATTCTGAAAAAAAAAGTCAAATTCTAGGAAAAAAGTCATATTTGAGATGCATTGTGGGACATGTAGTTTATGGGCAATGTGCTTCTCTAAAGCGGCATGTAACCGTATAATAAACATATTATATTCTTTGCTCTTGTGGGGCCACATGAAATGAAGTCGCGGGCCGGATTTGGCCCCCGGGCCTTGAGTTTGACACCCCTGCCCTAGAGGATGTGAAGTCCACCCCCCCAATTAAAACATGTTATAATACTAAATAAATGTGAAGCCTTGTTATATAAGCTGTCCACCATGTCAATATATTTCTCTTTTTGTAGTGTATTGGTCTTTTGTAGAGGTTTTTCATTACCAGCTAAAATCTTGCCTATAGGGCAGCACATTGGTCAGAACCAGCCCTGGTGTCATCCCCACAGCACCCCCCATTTGAAACATGTTCCCACGGCTATGAATGTGTTTGTTTTTTTTAAATGGTAAAACATATCCTTTAGCTAAATATTTGGAATAAAATGACTAATCTCATGAAAGAGAGATTCCTTACTGGGCTGTTTCTCCACAAACTCCTGGAACTTGCTCCTCTCGTACTCAACAGATTGCTGCATCAGATGAGGCCGGAGGCTGGTCAGGGCAAAGTTGGCCATGTCCAGCTTCATCAGGTCCAGCACAGAGAATATTGCCCTAGGAGGGGGGAGGACAGAGGAAGACAGAGGCAGAAAACAGATCACTGTATGTTATGAAATAAAGAAATACCAAAGAGGTTTGAAATTCCATGTCCAACTTGGCTGGTGTTCATATTCTTATTCATTAAAGTCTGCATAGATTGGTTAAGGAATGAGTCCTAAATCTGGAAATGAGTTAGCATTCTAGCACATCCAGTTCCCTTGTCTCCAAGTCAATGTTTTATATATAATGGCACATATTATGGGTCTCAGGAATATAACACTATATCAAAAACATATCTATGATGTGTTTAACTTGAAAAAAAAAAAAAAGAGGAGGGGGAGCTTGTGCCTGCTCAGAATTCTACGAGATACTCCGCTAAACGCTGCCGTGATTAAACACCATATCATGTTCCAAACCACATCAAGGATTATTTCTGAAACAGTATGGAGCTCAAATGCTTTTTCTCTCACAGGTTTACCACAAGGTGAGTTCCTTTTTTTATTTCCTGCTTTTTTACACATACTCTCTCCAGTACAGGTAAGCTCTGAGTGTTAGCGATGCTTGCTAATGTAAACAAAGACCATATTACGTCCTAAACAGTAGCGCATTGTTTCTGATAGCAACGTTTCTGATAGGGCCGTGGGTGTAAAGCCAGCCCACATTTCCGTTATTAACTCATATCGGATGCAAATCTGGATCAGCTCTGTTGTACCCCCGTTTTTAGAGATGTGGGTACGGAGGAAAATAAAGGATGTTTTGTTTTCTGACACTTTGTGAGTTCACACCGGGGACACATATTTAAAAGACAACAAAAAGTGCATTTTGCATGATAGGAGACCTTTAAGACATAATATATGTTAGAAAATAGTTTTACGTGTCAAAAAAGGCAATTGCAAACATCATAACAGCAAACATTAGCCGCTGTTATTGTGTTGTCGTGAAGTCAGGCAACCGCGATGTAGTTTTTATTGCCTAACGTTAGCTTTTTCATTCAGGCAATTGCATTTACTCTTCAACTACTATTAAAAGTGGTTGAAAATATGTTGAGATAATTTTCTGAAATAATCCAATGGAAAAATCCCATTGCTTTTTGTCGTAGGAGCCCTTGCGATGCTAACCTCCCTGTCGACACTCAAAAAGACGTCATCCCTGAACCACTCCATTGGGTTTGTGAGCCTGCTAGCTCATCTCTTATCATCCTCTATGATAACGTTGGCCCAGCACAGCCCAGCAATGTAATGGACTGGAATTAAATGTCACCTAATCTTAAAATAAACTGTTCCCTGGAACATACAGGACTAATAATACTTGGCTTACTTGAGCAGAGGCACAATTTCTGTGATCTCCTTTAGCTTTCTGATGTCCTCATCTCTGCAGGGGGCACACTGTGAGCCCATCATCATGACGATGAACTGGGACAGTTGACCAATGTCCACCGCTCCTTTCTCAGCCTGCTGCTGGATTAGAGGCAGATCCAAAACCTCCTCGATCTGGGTGCGCAGACGGACGTTCAACGGCATCACAAATGAGAGTAAAGTCTATATGTGGAGGTTAATGGATGATGATTGTTGTCAGTGGAAAGAAAAGACAGAGTAATCGGTATTAGGGACAGATATTCTACATTGGTATGGCATGTAGTGCTGCACAATCATTGGAAATTGTATTGAATCAAAAATATATTCACTCACTCGCCACTTGCAGTGTCTTATATAGGTTTTAGTGCATGTAAATGTTCTACAAAGGCCAAAATCCCAAAGTTCTCTCCAGAGAGTTTCTCTACCACCAACACCCCTTCTATTGGCCAGCACTCAAACACATTGTACGTGACAGGCTAAGGGGTGGAACATCTCTAGACAGAGCAGGCCAGCTAACCAATCAGAGCAGACTGGGCTCTGGTTTCAGACAGAGGGTGAAAAGAGATGCTGCAGCACAGGCAGTATGAGAACATTAAAGCATGGAGACATGTCCCATTCTATATTGGAACAACTTTCACGAAAACCAATTTCCCCCTGGTATTATTGAAATGTTTCTGATTCTGATAAACTATATTATTCAGATTTAACAAAACATAATTGTTTGGTACAGATCCTCTTAAAAAAAAGAAAAAAGTATCACACCGTAATAATTTATTATATCACGAATGATAATTATAAATAAAATGACCAATGACCAACAATATCATTAACAGTTAATGAATCAAAATGAGTTATTTTTATAAACCATGTCCTTCTCAATAAACAGCTGCGGGATCATATCTGAAGAGTTAAAATAGGAACACATATTTTCAGAGCTTTGGAGTCATCAGGGACGTTTTTATTTCCAGGAGTAAAACAAACAACATCTGCCTCACCTCTTTGATCTCCGCCAGCAGTTTGATTAAATGTCCGTACGTCTGTGGCTCGTCCGTCAACTGAGCTTCCAAACACTCCCAGAATGCTTTGTGCATTATCTCTTTCACTTTGTGCTCCAAACTGTACAGGGGCACAGCAGAGGTTGTTACTATAAAACAGTGGTGGAAGACGTACTCAGATTTTCTACTTAAAGGTCACGTATTATACTCCTTTTCAATAATATACGATCGGTCTCAGATATATACAAAACATGTCTCTGAAATGCTGAAATCCCAAACAGACCATGCATGCCATATGCCCCTAAAAAAAGGTTGCATTTTTTGGGCCGATTTCAGAATAGTATATATAGTTTTACTGGAATATAGTTACTGGTCCAATAATATGAATATCATTTATATGTGATGCTCATAAGAGGTGGAGACCACTTTAATTACTTTTTTTATTATTATTTTAAAAATATATAATTCTTTTTTTTTTTAAAGTTATCTAAATTAATAATAGTCCATTGTCCATCTTCAGAATCAGAATCAGATACCTTTATTAGTCCCACAGAGGGGAAATTTGCAGCTGCTGTAACAGGCTGCCACTCGCCCGGCGCCGGAACCGGAAAAATCTTAAGTCATTAGTTGTTTTATTTATTTTAATAATATGAACCTGCATATAACTTAAAAGAAGTGGAGTATATAGTTAACCATTTGCCTCCAAAATGTACTAGAAGTATTTTGTACCATAAAATGAACATACTGAAGTCCCTTAACATTTTACTGAGGTGCCACTTGAGTAAATATACTTTCCCTGCTTATGAAGCAAGGGAGGAGTAACTCAATAACAGGGACTTTCAAATCAGTGAGTCTACTTGACTCAATTCTCACCTCCCCTCAGGAGGCGCTGCAGGTTTGACTTGGAAATCGCTGTTGAAAATTATTTCATGGGCCAGAACCATGTTTGAGACTCCTTTGGCCGTCTGCATCAGCTCCTCCACAGACACAAACTTGGGGGGGCTGGCTGTGAGGGAAATCCATCTTTTAATGATTTAACAACATAAAACATCAGAGGGTAATTTCCCAAAACAATAATACCGTCATACCGCCAACAACCTGTAGTTGAACTAATAAGAAAACAAGGTGCATTTACTCTTATTTTGAAGCAGATATAGTGTAAAAACAGACATACATCAGACACGTTACCTCACAGGATATATATTACTCCTAATCGCAAGCTACTGTACAAATGTTTTATGTATTTAATATATATATAGTACACTATGTTTATATGTTAAGTAGATTGGTATATTAGAGAGGATTCTTACTTATTCTGGATATGTTATAGTGTTTAGATACTCTGAATACATTTATTTCTTACTGAGAATATGTTGATAATGTTTTGAAATGTACATTTGTTTATGTTTATCTATATTTTATTTATATTCTATTCTATTTTTAAGTAATTGTGTAATTCTTGTAGATTGACTGTCAAAATGCTGCTGCTAAAGTATCCATCCATAAGATGGTGAATGTTTTATCTCTGGGTGTCAATGATAATCCAATTTATAACCGAGATAATTAAACAGTCCCAAATGCAAAGTTCTGAATATACTTGTGGAAAAACCTTTATATTGATCGCCCTTATCAGGGCTATAAAGTTGATGTCTGAATAAATGAGTCCTAGTAGTCAGGGAATGACTTTTAAGAGGATGTGCTATGTACTAGGGATGGGAACGATTAATCTAATATTCGAAATTATTCAGGTATTCGAATATGAGTTATGAATGTTTTTTTTGGGAGGGGTGCCTAAGTTGATTACATATGATCAAATGGAATAATTCAATGTATACAACAGTGCCATAGCTAAATGTGTTAGGTCTAAAGGTGTGTGTTGCTCCGCTCACCGGTCCCTCACAGCGGGCAGAGCTGCAGGTGCTGATCTCTCTCTCTCTCTCGTCCGGTTATACTTCACTCGTGTTTATGTCCAAATCCATCAGAAAACCAAGTTATGTTTTAAGCATGAAAGCTGTAGGCCTATAGCTGTCATCTGTTCAAACTGTGATCACCAGTTCAATACATTTGACAAATTTGAGTTGGTTTCTATACTTATTTGAACATGTATTTATTTATTTTTCAAAATTAAAATATATATATATTTTCTTTATAGGATATGTACATTTTGGTTAGTCGGTTAACCGTTTTTTTTGGGGGTCGAATATTCGAATATGCATTTGCTTTCAAATTCCCATCCCTATTATGTGCTGGGTAATTTATCTGCTGGACATGATACAAATGTGATTGTATTGGTATACATGTTCATAGTTTTGCTAACCCGGTAATATAGAATGCTTAAGATATATAACATATTATAAGTATAAACACTTTTTATCAGGTTACAAATTATAAGTATGTTCTTTTTCCTTTAAGGATCATTGCAACCTATATAAATAAATAAAATAAAATGTCATTTTATCTGAGACGGTGAAAATACTGTGAAAATAACATACTGAGGTATAAACTTCATGAGCCATTTAGTGTCCGTGAATATGTCAGATAAACCTCAAAATGAAAAAGGCCTTGTTGGTACATATTGCCAAACCACACCTGTCCTTATTTTAAGTCGGGTTAGAGTGGGTCAAGCTGAGGGGATGATATTGCTGGAGCTGGGTTAACAGCTAAGAAAGGCAATCAGCCCACTGATGAGGGTAGTATGTTTTTACGAGAACATTAATGTTGGTTATTGTTTAATTTCCCGTTGAGTGCCAGATGTTTTTCAATAACTGCGGAAAATTTGGTAGGTAGCAGATTGAAGTCAACTGAGGTCAAGAACTGGAAAGCTTTATCCTGAACATCCATGTCAAAAGAACTAAGACCAACTGCAAAAGTAGCTTCCTGGGCCACAGCTGTCCAACATCAATTATTTATCCAGGATGCTCGTCGCCCTGATAATATTTGAGCAAATATTCTCACATATGTACATCCTTGTTATTTTTAATCTGAGTTCACTTTCTCTTGGAATGTTTCTACTCCAATAAAACTGATGTTGGATTAGAAATACATGATCCATTTTGACTCATGGCTGTTTCTCTGTGTAGCTGCAGTAAATCATCCTGTTTCTCACCTTGGGGAGTGCTCCCTCTTTGTGGGCTCGGAGTATTTACCCGGATCCTCTTGCTCACTGTCCCCTCAGTGGCATTCTGCGTCCTCTCCTCCTTCGACTCCTTGTCTCCTCCAACTTGGTCATTCTCCTTTTGCATGCTCTGCAAGAAATCAGATGCAGTTCAAGTATCCAATCAGCAGTTATTTAAGGAGATTGCAGCACACACACATTAACTGTGATTTTTATAGAGATGCAGCCTTGCTACATCAGTGAACGGCATTTGTAACATGCTGGGATTTCATATTACATATGCAGGTTTGTTTTTATTGTCATCCATGCATGATGACATCACCTTTAAGGCAGGGGAGTCAGTGTGCCAGTGCGACGCTCAGGTGGTGAATACGGAAGAGGTAAACAGAATAACATCGCTGTGGCTTTCTGCAGAAACGTTACTAACCTTGTAGTCAGCGGGGAAAATGAAAGAGCAAAGAGATGTGTTAGCTCAACTTCTGTACCGCTAGCTTTAGTCAACAACAACACAACCTCCTTATGACACAGCTAATCCTTCGTAACCCGGCCGACAATAGGGAAATTATCACTGACCAATGGTTTTACAACTTCAGCACTGCCAGACACCGTCTTCAACAGAAGGAACGTTTTGTTTAAAACAAAGAAACTCAAGCTTACAGAAGTCGCACCCTGTTCTCTTTTTACATGCGTAGGGTCGTCGCTAAGCTAACTGAGCAACACTTCCTGTTTTGGGCGGGGTTAACTTGACGTAACAGCCCAGCCCACTAGCGCACCCAAATAAACACACTGAGTTAGGATTTTATTATTCAATAATACAATTTATGTATGTGTTATTATATGTTTTATTCATAAAGTATTGACCTAGAAGACAATTGAAATGTTTGACAACATTTCTTTCAAATACAACATATTCATACTTTATTATAATCCCCCAATAAAACACCTATTTTTACCTTATTGCACTGTAGAAGTTATAAGAAAATAGAAAAACATCTATCTTTGACTATAAAACGTGTATGTCATGTATTTGCCAGCTAAAAACACAAACAAAAAAGTTGAAAAAACATTACTCTTAATGCTATGTTTCCACAGTAATACACTGACAACTGTTACTATGTCTGTATGAAGAAGATGAAGGTAGAACATCACAGAAAAGGCCCATACAGTAAGTGTTATACTTGTGAAAATGCAATACAGACAGTGGTGGTGGTCCTTGAAATCCACTAAAATATTGAGTTATTTCTGTGTAGACTTAAATGGTTGAAGTGCATGTATGGCATAGAAGCCACAAGTTCCGAATGGTAATTACTACAAGAATCAATTTGATATTAAAGGATATGTGCAATACACAAAGTTAAATCTGGTTGTTACCGATGTGAGCTACTTTAACCAAATGACATACACCCACCAGAAAAAACGTTATACTTAACATGAGACTCTTTTTTTTCTGATGGACTATCTCTCATTGATTCTACTCTATTTGTTTTGTATTACCCTTACACACCCAATGAAACAAATAAGCTTAATCACAGAAACACTTGTTATATGCAAGACAAACACTTATCAACACTTTATTTATTTTGTCAATAACAAAGCAAATACACACATATACAAGCAATTGTATGCTGGAAGAATCTTTGCCCTCTCCCATAAGATTTTTTGTAAGTCTCACATAGTTAAGTCAGTTAGCTTGGGCCGAAAGAAAATGACCAAAGATGGTAATAACTAGCTCCTGGTGAAACTGACTGTAGAAGACTGAGAGATAAAGACTATGTGCCCGTGTAATTGCCTTCACAAAACTAAAGCACATTAACAGCAGATTCTCCAAAGTACTTGCTAAATATATCAGGGTGCGCTTGATAAAACTGTCCGAGTAGGCGCTTTTTCTCCTTGGCAGAGACCTTGGGGTCCTGGTGGATGCTGTTCAGTAGAGTCCACAGGGCCTGGTTGGTGGTCTCCTTTGAGTCAGTGGAGACCTGCTGACAGAACGTAAAACCTGAAGGATGGAGTGGGAGAAGTGTTAAGAAGGAAGGAGCTTTGATTAAAAGTGCCACATTGCACTCAATTAGTAGTTTTGGCAACCTAGAGGCAATACAACATTGCTTTTTAAGGGAAATGTGTTAACAGGCAAATGCCGACTTGCAACTCCAGCAGGTATGTAGCATCAATTGCATTTTCTGGCCAACTGTCAAATGCATCTCTATATTCAGTTTTCTTTAAACTCTGTTTTGGTCTCCTCCATCTCTGTACTTTGTAAAGCATGATACCTTATTTGAGATTGATTAGAGCAGAAAGAGTGAACCAAAACAAATAAAAGTTATGGAGTGTAAAACCCAAAAAATGAGCTGTACAACACTTGGATACTCTGCAGGTCTGCTGGGAAACTCAGATTTATGAGAAAGTTGTCTAAATCTATGACTCTTTAACAAGTATGAGTTAGTGTTACACTAAATTTCACCATCTACTGTCAATAATCCCCACTTCTGTTCAGTGAGTCCCTATAAGAATGTTGAACATTTCTTTAGTTTTTACTAAAATAGTAACAGTGCATTTTGGAAGTGGACACTTTACCTTACAATTAGCTGCTGCAGGGAATATTTCCTTCAAGGTTTAATGGTTGTAAAATAGAAATACGTCAAAGTCCAATATGCAAATGTCTGTGATTTCTTAAATAATGTGTATTAAACAATTTAAAGGAGACCTATCATGCTACATTTGAATAATATATTGTAGGGCCATACCTATATAAAAAGGTATATTTATGTTTTTTTCTTCAAAATACCAAACAGATCATGCATTTTTTTAGCCATGCCTCATTTTGCTCTATTTTCCTCTCCTCCACCCTCTCTTTGCATGCGCTGCAGCTGACCACGCCCACCTGCAAAGGAGGGGGCGAGTTTGAGCGTCATGTTACCATGCTGTTACCATGCCACGGCAACCCCCTGATAGGTGTAGAGTTGGCCGTATAGGCGGAGCTCCTCGTCACTGATGTCAGATTATTTTCAAATCTGTATCAGTCTGTATCAGTCTGTATCAGATCCGTTGCAGCCCCGTTTTTAGAGATTTGGGTATGGAGGAAAAGAGAGGGTGGTGTTTTCTGACACTTGGTGAGTTCCCGGACACACCGGACACACATATTCATGTATAAAAAGAAGTACAAAAGTGGATTTTTCACGATAGGTCCCCTTTAACCTAATAATAATAATACATATTATTTATCAAGCGCTGTATCAAATGCTCAAAGACGCTTTACAGCGTCAAGAAAAAATAAGATAAGATAAGAAGTCTTATTAAAATCGAGCAATAAAACCACATTTGTGACAAGGACATGTCATCAATCACACGTTAAAAGTCAGTCTAAAAAGGTGAGTTTTCGTCAGTGTTTTGAAGGCGGGGGCGTCATTACAGTCTAATTTGTTGTGGGAGTGAGTTCCAGAGGGTGGGGGCAGCAGTGGAGAGTACTCTGTCACCCCAGGTCCGGTGCTTGAGGAAACAGAACCGGACCTGGGGTGACAGGTGCTTGAGGAAACAGTGACGGACTGTATATTTTTGTGTTAGATTGTCGTTGGATTGACCCTCATGAACAGCCTTACCGTTCACATCAGGCTCCTCCTCCTGTACGAGGCCGGCCAGCTTCTCACTCACTACTTTGTGCAGGGCCCCTGGTATCTGGAGAGAGGAGAGGAAAGTCTTAACGTCAACTTATGTAATGGCAGAGATTGGTTTGTCGATTAAATAACACTTCAAAAAGGTATTTTCTTGAACTTGAGTTGTACTCTTTTCAATTCCCACTTATCCTATTCAGTGAATGTCTGAGACGGTCATTTCTTGCAACTCAAAATGACAACACAATGTTTAAACAATGTGTTCAAAAAATTAGACTCTGTTGCTCCTTTGAAAAAGAAGAAAATAAAACAACATAGATTAGCTCCATGGCATAATGCCGAAACCCGCAAAATAAAGCAAAAGTCGAGACAACTTGAAAGGATATGGCGTTCCACTAAACTTGAAGAATCTCGTTTAAGTTGGCATATTACTCTCAATGAATATAAGAAAGCACTGCGTAAAGCGAGAGCAGCCTACTACTCTTCATTAATAGATGAGAATAAGAATAATGCAAGATTTCTTTTCAGCACTGTAGCCAGGCTGACAGAGAGCCACAGCTCGACTGAGCCTTCTATTCCCATAGCACTCAGTAGTAATGATTTTATGTGCTTTTTTAACGATAAAATTGTTACTCTTAGAAACAAAATCAATGACCTCTTGCCTTTGACCAGTATAGTGTTATCAACAGCTCCCGGAAACGTAAGTTCTAATATTACACTAGATAGTAAACTAGAATGCTTTTCAGCCATAAACCTTGAACAATTAAATTCAATGATTCTCTCTTCTAAACCATCAACGTGTATCTTAGACCCGATTCCAATTAAGCTGTTAAAAGAAGTTTTTCCATTAATTAGCACTTCTTTATTAAATATTATGAATATGTCTTTATTATCAGGCTATGTTCCACAATCATTCAAAGTAGCAGTGATAAAACCGCTTCTTAAAAAGCACAACCTCGATCCAGAGGTTTTAGCCAACTATAGACCTATTTCTAATCTTCCGTTCCTCTCAAAGATTCTTGAGAAAGCAGTCGCAAAACAGCTGTGTGATTACTTAAAAAACTATGATTTATTTGAAGATTTTCAGTCTGGCTTTAGAACACAACATAGCACAGAGACAGCTCTGGTTAAAGTCACAAATGACATTCTAATAGCCTCAGACAAGGGACTTGTCTCAATTCTTGTCTTGCTCGATCTTAGTGCTGCATTTGATACTATCGACCATGATATCCTATTGCAAAGACTAGAGCACTTAGTTGGCATACAGGGAACTGCTTTAGGCTGGTTTAGGTCCTATCTATCTGAACGCTCTCAGTTTGTACGTGTCAACGATGAATCTTCCATGCAACCAAAGTTAGCCATGGAGTGCCACAGGGCTCAGTGCTTGGACCTATTTTGTTCACACTATATATAGCTTCCGTTAGGCAATATTATAAGGAATCATTCTGTAAACTTTCATTGTTATGCGGATGATACTCAACTATATTTATCAATCAAGCCTGATGAAATTAATCATCTAAATAAAATTCAAGACTGCCTCAAGGACTTAAAAACGTGGATGACCTTAAATTATTTGATGTTAAACACGACCAAAACTGAAGTTATTGTACTTGGCCCAAAGAATCTACGAAACAAATTATCTAAAGATATACTAACAATGGATGGCATTAATTTGGCCTCCAGTGAGACTGTAAGGAATCTTAGTGTTATATTTGATCAGGATTTANATATATTATCATGTTTTATGCCGTTCGCCGCCTACTTGATAAGTCGCTCGTAAAACACAGGAGGTATGGAAACTAAGAACACCATATTTGGTAAATTGTACAGCTACAATTTACCAAATATGGTGTTCTTAGTTTCCATACCTCCTGTGTTTTACGAGCGACTTATCAAGTAGGCGGCGAACGGCATAAAACATGATAATATATGCATGCTCGTATCTATACAACCTATAGAAATGCAAAATGGCGTCAGTTTAAAGTAATTATATCTTTCTGTTTACCGCATCATTTATGAGAATACATTTCTTAACAAGGGAACATAATCGAGGGGTGATCAATAAAATTTCCGTATTTATTTATTTCTCCAAGTTATGTTTTT